GGATTAATGAGGATTTTTCTCCTCATTGAAATATGCATATTTATTACACTTTAAACGAAAAGAAGCATCTTGGTCCAAAAAAGAGTGAGCTTGAAAAGTTCTGACTTACTCAAGTTTTATTCTTCATCTTCCTCATACTTTTTATTGTTGATGCTTTTGAGGATTAATGAGGATTTTTCTCCTCATTGAAATATGCATATTTATTACACTTTAAACGAAAAGAAGCATCTTGGTCCAAAAAAGAGTGAGCTTGAAAAGTTCTGACTTACTCAAGTTTTATTCTTCATCTTCCTCATACTTTTTATTGTTGATGCTTTTGACATGTTATTTTATTTTATTTAACTATTCTTAGATCAACACAAAACATAACGTACGATTTGAAGATAATTAATCTATATGACGTAAGAGTTCTTCTACTGATGCACCAGCCTTTCAATGGATGGAACTAATACCTTAATAGCTTTCATTAGATAAAAACTTTTTAGTTGGTCGAATTGTAGTTAAATACCAGCCGTACTATTTTCACATCTGACATTACATCAGTAGTTAGTCACCGACAATTTCCTTCGAGGATCACAGCATATACTATTTTCACATCTGACAACAGAGAAAGGATCCAATGAGAAATTTATGAGCCAGACCCAGTAGTCTTGTATTCTTAATTTTTAAAAACGAGATTAATTACTTGATTGAGCTCTTTTTTTTCAGCAAATTGTTTGGAAAAGATCTCATGAAGATTTGTGGTGATGACCCTACATAAGATTTGCCAGAGATTTGCTATTGTTGGTTTTGGGGTGTAGACCCAAACTTCGGAACAAGCTGCACACTAAGTCTGGAAATCAGGCCAACTTCAGTTCAGGCGAAGCAGACGAACTTCAGTTCAGATGAACTTCAGTTCAGGCGAACTTCGGAGAAAAACAGATTCCTAATCTGTTTCGGTTTTAGGGTTTTCCTATAAATAGGGAACCCTGACCGCCTTTTCCTGTGCGTTTTTCTATGTGATTTTTTGCAGCAGACTTTGGACGCCCTGAGAGAGATTTCGGAGAGAGAGATTGCTCTTTTGCAAGCTTTGTAATCTTCTTTAATAATCAAAGAAATTTTGGTGTGGCTCCCGAGGACGTAACCACGTTTGCCGAACCTCGTTAAATCTGGTGTTCTCTCTTTTATTCGTTCTTTCCTACTTCTTTGTTTTGCTGTGATTTCTTTCTTGTTATTTGCTCGTCACAAGATCCGGAGGGTACGTTACGTGGAGGTTCTTTGACAGGTTGTCGAGATATTAACCCCAACAGGCAACAGCTATGTCCCTATTTAGTTATCATCCTAATTTTAGAGTTTTAATATTAAACTAATATAATACTATATCTATATAAATATTTAATTCTCATCATAACTTCAAAGTTGTCATGTCTAGATTCAAAATCTCACCGACCACAATTTAAGGTGGATTTCAAGAAACCCATCAGAGATGACTCGGACCGTTGAGAGCTAGGTTCCTCCAATATGACTCCCACGGTCCTGGATTCGATGCTCGACCGGGTTGATTAAATAATAATAGAAAAAAGGATTCCACAACTAATTAGCTTGCAACACTTATAAAGGTTCAGCTTACGAAAATCATGTCAGATCGATCGATGTATAAAATCAGAACCACATCGTCAATTAATTAAGTCGGGGGCTGACATAGTTAGTTGGTTGGTTAATATCCAGGCGATCGATGTCGTCGTCGAACTTGCAAACGCTGTGGAGATTGTAGGCTAGTTAGCTGGTGACGATCGAGGCGTTGATCACGGCCGGCT